TATCTTCCACCTGTTTTACTCTTTTATGTTGGTTTGTGTAGGATAGATATTTCTCTCTTCCCTCTCCCCCTTCCCCCTTTCCATCCTCCCTAAAAGTCAATGGAAAGAATATCCTTGAGTGAGAATTAACAAAAAAGAAAAAAAGTGAAGCTGGGGGTATACCCTAGGTCTATCTGGCTCCCAAATCTGGTCTTTCCTGTCCGTTAAGCTGCCTCTGGCCACTGGGATTGGGTTTTGTAATTCAGGGAAGAGATTAGATCTTCTTCTACAACAAAACTGAAAAGCAAAGGATAGATGAAAAGCAGGCCAGTGAGAGGAGTTAGTGGCTGGGGTGCCCCCGCCCTGCCCATTGGTACTTGTCATGGCAGGCGGGCTGGGGGGTGGATGCATCCAAGACATCCCAGACCAACACACCACATTTGTGACCCAGCGCCCTCCCCGCACTCACCACAGTTCATGCTGGGAGAGGACCGTGTTGAGAGCCTAGCACTTCTCGCCAATCACAGAAGGGAACCAGGAGTTGGTAAGAGCCACTGTGCCTCACAAGCCACCACGTCCAGAGGGGCCGGCATGCAGTGACTCCTCCAGGGAACCACAGTCCTCAGAGAGGCGAGGGAGCAGGAGGGTCTTTATTTTATTTCCCAAAGCAAAGGGCCGCCCCCACGTCTTCCTGTATTTTAAATGGCCATAAGTATTCTCCCACTCCTGACAAAACCTGCTCAGTGTCCACTGGACACTCAGTGACATACTCCTCAGACCTGCACTCAAGGCCTTTGCCAACCTGCTCCACAACTTACTTCTAACTTCATCTCCTTCCACACTGGTCAGGCGCTTTCCAGCTTTGGGGTCTTTGCTCAGGCTGTTCCTGTCTCCATCTGAGTCTCCAACTGTTGAAATCCCATCACATCTTTAATTCCCATCCAAAATATCACTTCCTCCTCAGACAGAAAGTTTCCCACCCACCCTTACCCTGGACATTCATGCCGAGGCATGAAAAAACCCCAGAATAGCTAAGCTTGTCTTAGTTATGCTTTTAAATCAATCAATCAATCAATCTTTATTTCAGAGAGGAAGGGAGAGGGGGAGAGACGGAAACATCAATGATTAGTGAGAATCCACACACCCTGAGCCCAACACCCAGGCATGTGCCAGGACCCTTCCGTCCACAGGCTGACGCTCTAGCCACTGAGCCAAACCAGCTGGGGTTCTTAGTTATGCTTTTATCAGCCCATTGCCAGTGGCCGGCATTTAGTGGCCCCCTAATAGTCAAGAACATATCTGCTGGACAGTGTCCCAATGAGTGGCTTGTATTCCAGGCCCATCTGCTTAAGGAGGAGGGGTTTGGAGACCAGACTGGGGCCTCAGCTCCTCCATCCTACTCTCCCCACAGCCCCCAGCTCAACTTTAGATAGTCTCCTTGGCACTATTCTAAGCCACCATAGCGATGGTGATGGTAGATTTCCTGAGGGGTAAGGAAGAGGGGGGGGGGGGGGGAGGGAGGAGGGGTTAGTGGGGGACGACAAAGTCTCCGTTTGGAACTACATCTCCCATCATGCATCCCGGCCCCAGGATGCCAGGCTCCTGAAGCGCGGACCGGGGCCGTTCCCGGGATCCGGGAAAGGTCGGGGTGAAGAGCAGAGCACAGGGAGCCGGCCCGTCCCCTTCTCACGGAGGTCCCGGCCCTTTAAACCCTAGCAGGCCTCTCGGGCCGCGGCGCTACTACTTCGGCCTAACATGGCCGCTCGCGCTGGGACTGGTCCGGTGTGCAGAGCCGGGCCGAGGTCGAGGGCCAGGGACTGTTCCCGGCGTCCCTCGCGGCGTGGCGTGGGTTCTCGTCGCCACCCCCAGGTCCCGCGAGAGGGAGACCTTCGGGCTTCGAGGCTGCCCCCGAGGCTCCTTTGGACCGCGCTGTGGCTGGGGAGGGCTGGTCGGCGGGGTCGCCCAGGCAGTGAGCCCCTGGCCTGCAGGGTAACGAGGTGTGTGGGGAGCGCTGAGAGGACACCCGCCATGCGGCCTGCTTCCGAGGGAGCCCCTTGGATTGAGGACATCTTCGGCGGTGCAAGGGATCTTACTGGAGACCTGTCACTGTAACAGTCTTAAAACATCAGACAGACGGGGGGCAGGGAGAAAGGGCTGCAGCCCCAGCCGATTCTGAGACAGTGTTTGTGTCTCATAAGTTCTTCCAAGGGTGTGTGTGTGGGGGGAGGGGGGGGCGTGTCTTTGGTCTTTGCTGAGCTGTCACGCTGCAAGGCTGAGCACTCTTGGGAGGTCAGCAAATGATTTTTGATTGACTGATTGCAGGTAGAATGGCCCAGGGATTGATTGAGGTGGAGCGAAAGTTCGTTCCTGGGCCAGAAACAGAAGAACGGCTTCAGGAGTTGGGGGGCACCCTGGAGCACCGGGTCACCTTCCGAGACAGCTACTATGACACCCCAGAGCTGAACCTCATGCGGACTGACTACTGGCTGCGACAGCGAGAAAATAGTGGTTGGGAGCTCAAATGTCCCGGAACAGCAGGTGTCTCTGGACCCCACACTGAGTACATGGAGCTCACAGCTGAGCCTGCAATTGTGGCCCGGCTCTATAAGGTGCTGGGGGCTGAAGTCCCCGGGGCTGAGGGTGTGGCTGCTGTGCTGGGCCCACTGGGACTGCAGGAAGTAGCTAGTTTTGTGACTAATCGAAGTGCCTGGAAACTGGTGCTTTCCAGAGCTGATCAGGAGGAGCCTCCGCTCAGGGTGGACCTGGACACAGCCGACTTTGGCTACGCTGTGGGTGAAATAGAGGCCCTGGTGCAGGAGGAGGCCGAAGTCCCCGCTGCCCTAGAGAAGATCAACAAGCTCGGCAGCATGCTTGGTGAGGGAGACTGACCCTCCGTGCTTTCCCTGTTCCTCTTCCGGGTGTGCCCATCGGGCCAGGTGGCAGGGAGGGTTTTGGCGTTATTTCTCTAATGGGAATTGTTTTAGCAACTTTCTAGAAGACTGAGTTTTCTTAGGTTCCTATCCAATCCCCTTTCCTCTTTTGCAGTAGTGCTCTATCTTGATTTAATTCTGCCCAGTGTCTCTAATCTATTCCAGTCATTCTGATTTAGTTCGCACACCTCTAGCCTTCAGTTCCATTTGTCAATTCTCTGCTTCAGTCCTTCAATCCATCCTCCCCTCTCCCAACTCCTACCCCCTCATTTTTACAGCTACCTAGATCTTCATTTAATTTGTCCTGTTAGCTTTCAGTACAAAGCAATAATGCATTTATGAGAGACCACTAGGGCAAGCACTGGCAGGCTTGTTTTTCCTGTTCCTAAGCTTAGTGCCCTCGTAGACAGTTCATCCACACAGGTATGGGGTGGCGCATCCCATGAGGCCTTACAGCCCTTGAAAGCTGTTCTCACCACCTCAGCAAACATACACTGAGTTCCTAATTATGTGCCCAGTATGCTGTCAGGTACTCCCAATAAGACACTGGCTTATCATGGCTCCACCACATAGAGGCTAAAATTCTGTGAGTCCTAACCCATGGCTATAGCTGCTTTTCTCTCTCTCCTCTCTCTCTCTTTAAATTTTAGAGAGAGAGGAAGGGAGAGGGTGAGGGAGAAACACTGACCAGTTGCCTCCCATATGCACCCCAACCGGGCACTGAACCTGCAACCTGGATATGTGCCCTGATCAGAATTGGACCTGTGACCCTTCAGTGCACTGGACAATGGTCCAGCCACACTGGCTAGGGCTCTCCTTTTCTTTCTACACCCCTCGGGTTCTCTCTGTGTGTATCTCTATATGTGCCTCATTATCAAATCAATGAGCTTTGGCCTATCTAGGTGGGCTTTAATCTTAGTTGGGGGACAGAAGCAATGTACTGAAATAAGTCGATACTCGGGCACCCTGTCTTCACGGTGCCTAAGTGCCTCTTGACCATTTCTCCTTGCTGGAGGAGGAGCTCATGCTTGGTTTCCCAGTCCCACTCCTGCCAGAAGTGGCCCTTTTAGGCCCCACTTCCAAAATCAGGGAGTGGGCTGTGGGTTACACAGCTGGTTGGATGGCTGGCATTCCTAATCCCAGGGCTGCCTTGGAAACAACTTTGGGGTCCGGCTCTGTGGGCAGGGAGTAGACTCAAAGCAGTTGTAGCTCTTTCTGGTTCTCTTATTCTCCTTTTGCCTATAGGTGTGTTGGCACAGGAGCGGGCACCTGCCAAGCTGATCGTGTACCTACAGCGTTTCCGGCCTCAGGACTACCAGCGCCTGCTAGAAGTACACAGCTCCAGAGAGAAGCCAGAGGGGACTAATGATGCTGACAGTAGCCTGGGCTAAGGTGTCGTTTCCTCAACAACAGAGAAGAGAACTCTGAGCCCAGTGGGGTTCATTCCTTTCCTCACTGTGCCTGTTCTCCTGGCTTCCCTTTCCACCGTGACTCCTCTCTCACCAGCTCTGCCTGTCCCTTCACCCTACCCTCAGCTATCCTCGTGGAGCCCTCCTAGGCTGCCTCCTCTCCCTCATCCGTCAGATGCAATCTGTGGGCCGCCCCTCTCCCCTGGCCGCTAAGCAGCCTCCATTGATTTCCGCTCGTGTTTATAGGATTTCCACTTAGCCGTGATCAGTAGTTAAGCACAGGAAAATCCCTTGCCACCCCCCTTCCCTTGGTCGATGCCATTGATTCTGCCAGCGGCTCCTAAACCACCTTACAGCTGAGTTAGAGATGAGGGGAGGCAGGAGGGATTTCCCTGCCTTGGGGTGTGGGGAATAGCGGCAGGTTGGGGATACGGGTGGGAATCCCTATTGGAAACCTAGACATTCTGGTTTGATTTTGCCACTGTGCCCTGCTCTGGCCCACATGGTAAAGTGCCTCCTGTGGGGTCAAATTTGTTCCCCAGCCCAGAGAGGGGTAGAAAGAAAACCCTTCTTTGTTGAAACAGATTCCTGAGACCAAGGGAAGACACATACTTCCTGTTAAGACTTGTTCCTTGCTGTTATTCATATATTTTCTACCTCAAATATATACAAATATAACTCACCCCCTCAGGCTTTATTGGACTTTCATTATTTGTGGGGGAGAGGGTGGGCCCCCTCCAGTTTTTGCAATGGCAAGCACAGGACCAGAGCGCCACCTGCTGGTAGTCCTCAGATGTAGGCTCCAAGCACCTGGGAGCCCAGGGGTTTGGGATCCAAGAGGATTTCAGGCCGAGTGGAGGCCCAGTGGAGGCCGAGTTACTGCCATGCCTCCACAGGCAAGTTGTTCACCTCAAAGATCTCCTGCACTGACCGGCCATAGTGGTTGTAGGTGAGGCGCAGCTTTAACCGCAAGGGGGCCTAGGAATAGGAGAGTGGAAACCAGGGTTAGCACAGATGGCTTCTCCCTTCCCTGGATCCTGTTCACAGGAGGCTCCTGGAGCTCACCTTGTTAGGATTGAGGATTCGGAGGACCTGGGTCACTGGAAGGCCACCCTGAGCTGGAACTGTGTCCCCACTGGGAGCATGTAGCTGCAGCTGGAAACTCTGAACATAGGAGATTGGGCAGGTTCAGGCAAGCCCTGCACACCCAATAGTTTCAAACCCTCTTCCCATAACTCCCCAAGTGATCGTCTCTGCATGGCACTCCCTTCTCATCTCATTCACCTCCTCTGCTTATTGGCCCTTTCTCCGGGAGTGCCCAGGCCACCTTCCACAAACCTTGGGCACAGCGGCCTGGCAGATGAAGCGGGTGACATCACCCTCTGAGGCGTTGGTAGCAGTGGCAGTGACTAAGAGCAAAGTAGGGGTTCCAGGCGGTCTAACAAAAGACAGATTCAGCTGTAGTCCTTCCCGCTCGAACACTTTGAGGTTTGGGATGGGCGCTAGAGAAGGAAGAGAGAAGCAGCTTACTGTATGGACCAAAGATGAGTTCATTCATTCTTTCATTCAGCAAAATTTAAGTGAGCACCCACTGGGTGCAGGGCACTGCTTGAGATGCTAGTGACAAAGTGGGCAAGAAGTTGGAGCCGACAGTCTAGTTGGGGGAGAGAATAAACAAGAAAAGCAAGATAATCACAACCTATAATTGGTGCTAGAAGGAAATAACTAGGCCAGGATAACTGGGAGGAACTGACTAACATAGGAGTGGTAGGGGAAGCACCTGACCTTTTAGCTGAGGCTTGAGGAGTAAGAATAATGCCCTGACTGGTTTGGCTCAGTGGATGGAGCGTCGGCCTGCGGA